ATTCCAAGCTGGCCTGGTGAGAGAGGCAGAGGAGGCAGGCCAGCCTGCAGGACCCAATTCTTGGTCACTGCCAGGAAATGGAGTCTCTTGAGGAAGAAACTCAAGGCACAGGGGCAGTGACCAGGGCGCATGCTCTACGGCATGCAGGGATCCTGTGGTCTTTGGGCCTGTCAGGAGCTAAACTAATACCAGAAGAGATTTATCCCAGGCTGCTGGGTGGGGTCAGTTGGGCCTCATGAGAGGAAGCAGCATTGGAAGGGGAGGCCTGAGTCTGGAGGGCTCCTGGCCTGCTGTGGAGGCAGGAGAGAGCTGGCCTTTCTTATCTGCAGCTGGGCAGGGCTGTGAGGGAGAAGAGGGCATTCCAGGGAGGTGGGCAGTCACCCAGTCAATGTGGCAGTCTGCCTGAACCTGGAGAACCCATGGTCCAATCCACCTACCTGCAGGCTACCTGCAGGCCCTTCATCCACAGGCAGGCTCCACCCCAGCCCAGCCCTCTCCAGCCCCAGGCTCCAGGATCCTGGCAGGACAGGTAGGGTGGGAGGCCAAGGGGAAGTCTTTATGGGAGCCCAATCCTGTGATGGCAGGCCAGGTCAGATGGCATGATGTCATCGGCAAAGGGAGGAAGCGAAGCCCCAGAGTCCTATGGGTCCCGGGGTGCTGCGGCTTTGCAGATCCTGCCCTTTCTCTCCCCATGGGTGTGATTCCCTCGATGCTTTTCATATCCCCTTCTTGGGAGAAAGGGGTGAATCCTCTGGTCCCTGACCTTCTGCGCCGTCTTGCACCCCTGGAGGAGTGACCACAGCACCTCTGTCTGGTGTCCCCAACTCCTTTGCTCCAAGGTCCCTCAGGGCTCCTTTAATAGCCCTCTCCCTGAGTTTTATGCCAGTCAGATTCTGTGAGCAAGGTCTGGGGGGGAGGGACCAAGTTCAATCCAATCTGTCTCTGAGCTCAAGACCTGCCCTGCTGGACTTCTATGTGGGGCTGGCCTCGAGGCGCCTGGGATGGCATTCCAAGTCCTTCCTCTTGAAGCATTGGGCTCTCGGGCTCAGGAGGAAACCTAGACACAGGACAGGGAGACAAGATTCACCAGCACGCCCAACATGCCAGAAATGGTGCTCTTGGTATGCTGCTCCTCAGAATGACAGCCAGGGACACATCCTGCCAGATGCCAGCAAGGAGACTGACTGGAGCTACTATTACAGGTGGCTGCTTAGTCCAAATTCATTCCAAGTTAACCAAAGTTAAAACTTCAGTTGCTCAGTCCCATGAGCTGCATTTCCAACAGTCAAAATCTATGTAACAGGGGTTCACTTGATGCTTTGAAACTTACAAGTTTTTTTTTCTTTTTCCCAATCTTTCTTTCCCTAAGCTTCTCCTCCCTGATCTTCTCCTTCCTCATCTCTTCTCCTTAATCTCATTTTCTCTGAATCACCTCTATAAAAACACCTTGTTCCTGATGATGGACAGAATCACAGCCTTTAGGACAGGAGTCCCCTGTGTTTCTCCTTGGCTAGCAAAGCAATAAAGCTTCTTTTTCCTTTTTCTCAAAACCATGTCCTCATTATTGGATTGACAACGGGGACAAGGACTGAGATTTCCGCAACATCTACATGCTGCGGTGGCGACAAGCCTGCACAGCAGTTAAGAATGTTGCCTGTTATTGTAGAAAGTTCCACAGGGCAGCACTGGCCCAGGGATTCCAAAATATGATCCCAGTGGATAGATCTAGAGATGTAGGTGGGAGGGGATCCCCCTCCCATCCAGCCCTGGGCCCTTCATCGACAAGACGGCACCAGATTCCAGAAAAGGGGCACCAAGGTGGGGGTGCCTTGCTGGGCTGCCCACCACCTTCTGCCCTTCACCCTTCTAACGTTGCCACCATCTCTGCAGCAGTGAGAGGCTGTGTTCCCAGTTCCCAAAGCCCACAGTACAGGGGCCCGGCGGCCACCCCTCATGACCCATGAGAGGATGGCACATCACCTGCAGAGTGCAGGGCCAGTGTGTCCACAGAAGCAGTTTCACCAGCCAACACTGAGTGCTGACTGGTGTCCACAGGGTCCCCAGGTGGGTCCTGCTACCCATAGGCTGGGAGGCCCAGGCTGCCCACTTCTGTAGGGCAGTGGAATGGGAAAGAGAATTTGCGGCAGGGAAGGGCCTCCAACCACACAGCCTTATGGGCTTACAACTGCCTGACAGGCACCCACTCCTACAAGCTGGGGGGGCCATCATACCAGCTCTCCAAGGAAGGTCCAGCACTGCTCGAATCCTTTGGATTAGGGAAGAAGATGGGTTTTACTATTGGAAAATCATTGAAAATAGAAAAAAATCTAAAGAGCAAATGATTTAGAAAACACTGGAAAGGTAGAGGAGAGAAACCATCACAGTTGAAAGGTGAATTCTACTTGGAGGCCCTCGACAGCCCAGAATGGCCATTCTCAGCCTAAGCCGTCCTGCCAGCCTTCCTTAGCAGAAGCAATAAGGAATACATAACTGGCTGGTCCCAAGAGCCACCTGATTCACCCTGTCCCACTCCTGTTGGTGCCAAATCCTTTGTGGCATGTTCTTGGTAGATGAGAGATGGTGACCATCACCCCTGGCGACTTCCTAGGGGTAGGCGTCATTCCAGGCACACTGGGTAGATTACTCCCTTCTCCTGGGGAGGCACCAGCATCCCACTTTCCAGCTGAGGAAAGTGGGGCAAAGAGAATGACCATCTTCCTGAGGTGGTGCCCTCAGCAGGCTGAGGAGCAGCTGTGAAGGTAACTACCCCCTACCTGTTGCTCCACTCCCCACCTGCAGACCCCCTAAATGACAGGCGCACAGGCCCTGGCTCCACAGCAGTTACAGCACCCAGGGAGCCGGCTGGCTCTGGGAGAGGCCTAGGCTGTCAGGAGCACACCCTGTCCCTGCCTCCACTAACTCCCCACCTGGCCCTTCTGCCTGTGGTGGGCCTCCTCAGAGCCTGGGCGGCATCTCTACGCCAGCTCCAGCACCTGCAGCCACCCCCAACTCCCTGCATCCTGTCGTCCCCATCTGAGGGGCACCAGAGGGGCAGTGGATACTACCCACCCTGACTTGTCACGCCATGTGCAACAGAAAATGGTCCCAAGGATCCCAGAAACACTGGGGACAGTCTCTCGGGTCCTGGGAAGCCCCAGCCCCAGTCAAGGAAGCTGGTTTATCCTGATGGGGTTGAACTGGCCTCCAAGGCTGGGCTCCAGGCCGTTCCTCCCTGGGTTCCATGACCTTAGGCCTTCAGAGCCCTCGGCTCAGAGACACTGGTGCCCCTGTGCTGGATCCCTCTGTCCAGCCTTCTGCCCAAGCAGCCCTCTTGCGACACTGCCTGGGTGGCCACATCCTTCACCTGAGCCCAGGCATCCTGGCCACAGCCCATCTGGCCCCAGTCCTAACGGTCACACAACCGGAGCCCCCAGGTCCCTGGTTCTTTCTCTGATGCTATCGCTGAATGTGCTCATGGTGGCCTGGTCCTGACCCTATCAGGGTGACCAGATATCCTGTCCCAGTCCTCGATTCTTAACCATTATCTTGTTCAAGTAGTGGGGGCCGCAGGTGGACCCTTCCACGTTGAGCGGCCCAGGCCCTGTACCTGGCATAGATGCAGGAGGTGCAGTGTTTCTCTGGGGGAGATGGCTCTGGTGTTACTGCCTAGGGAGCCACACTGTTTCAGGAGGGCACCAAGGACATATCCCTGGCCCCACTTCCTTCTCCACTGATGGCAGCTGCCCTTATGGAGGGCTTGGGTGGCTGGGTGCTCCCTCCAGGTCTCTCCTGCGGCTTTCCCCAACATGTGCCCCTCTCCCTCCTCTGCTCTTGCCAGCTGGTTCTGACAGCCTGTGGAGCTCAGCCTCGCTGTACACCCCAGGGCCCCACCTCCTCAATGCCAGGACTCCATTCCCCAAATTCCAGCAGAGACCCTGCCTGGACATTGTCCAGTTCTACCGTGCTCAGTGTAGGTCTCTGCAAGTCAAGATCCAGGCCCCTCAGGCCCAGGTCATTGGGCCCCTGGGGATCATCCAGTCCTGTGCAGGGCCCTCTGCCTGCCTCAGGCCTTCAGTCCTCTGCCTCCTGGTAAGGTGGCTCTTGGTCCAGCTGTGGGTCTCCACAGTCCCTTCTGCAACTGTCTCTGTTCCCCAGGCATTGCAAGCCTTGTCACTCACAGACACTGTGACCCGCATCACCAGCCATCCTAGAGGCCTACCTGCACCTGGAGCTCGGGGCCAGCCTGTCATGAGAGGGACAGGAATCTCTGTCCCAGTCACCTAAGGGCCCATGAGATAGCCAGAGAGCAGGTGGCCAGCTTGATGGCTCCCCATGGAGTAGGACTTCCCACTCAGAGAGGGGTAGAGTCTGTGCATGGGGGCCTCAGGACTGACCCTGAATGTGGGGCTGTCCCTCAGGGGCCTCGGGCAGTGCACCTGCTGGGCTTTCCTGTGGCCAGCAGGAAAGATTGGTGGTAAGACATTGGTCTGCACTAGCCCAGACAGGAGCAGAGCCTGGCCTGGCACAGAAGGTGCTGGAAAACAGAGGCCCAGCAGAGGAGCCTGAGCAGCAGCTCCCCAGGACGTGGTTCCTGTGCCCAGATGCTCCCAGCACAGGGAGCTTGGCCACCTGGTAGTGGGCACCTCCGTGTCTGGGGAAGGCTGCTGACTTACCCTGTCCCCTGCCAGGATGCTGAAAGACCTCAGGAGGTGCTGGCTGGCCCTTCTTTCAGCACCAACCCTGAGCCAAACAGCCCTTCTCCCACCCCAGCCTCTAGTGACATTCTTCCAAGAACATGGTGAGGTCCGAGTAATCCTGACTCTGGCTGATCCAGACCCTGGCAAGGACCTAGAACCCCGTGTTTGGGTCACCAGTCCCTTTTGCATCTCAGGCCAAATGCCACTTCCTCTCTGCCCCTCCTCCAAGCAGAGCGCTGGACAAGCCCCCTGCCCACTTCCTGTGGCTGGAGGATAAAGGATAGAGAGGCCCAGGGAGAAGGGAGCCCAGGAGCCCTGGCAAGGTAGGGTGCTGTCCCTGCAGACTGCTGTGGCTGGCCCTGGCCCGCTCTACCCCTGGCCTCAGGTAGCCCAGCACCCTCTGTGTCTGTCCTCTGCAGATGCTGAGCCTGTGGTTTGTGACCCTTCTCTTGGTGGGGACCTCCAGTGCTGGGACCCCGGGTGAGTCCTGACCCATTTGACCCTGTCCTTTCCCCAAGGCTCCTGTGAGCAATGTCCCCAGGATCTGGGGACATGTGCACGGCCTGTTCGGGCCCGAGTTGGGGATCTTGGCCTGTGTGCGCCAGGCTCCCTGACCTTCACCTGTTGCTTCTAGCACCTGTCTCTCAGAACGACCTGGTGGGCATTGTGGGTGGCCACAGTGCCCCCCAGGGGAGGTGGCCATGGCAGATCAGCTTGAGGGTCTACAGCTACCGCTGGGCTGCATGGGTGCACATCTGTGGGGGTTCCCTCATCCACCCACAGTGGGTGCTGACTGCTGCCCACTGCATTGGCCGGTGAGTCCCCTCCCTTCTGCCCGACTCTGGGTTGGATGTGGGGGCTAAGTCAGGGAGTATGGGCAAGGCCTGGGCTGCACATGTGGGGCCATTTTGTCTTCCTAGGCCTGCTGGCCTTCTGCAATGCCCCGAGGGACCTAGAGTGAGTTGCTTCCATGGTTTCTCTCCAACTCCAGGAAAGATGCTGACCCATCAGCCTACCGGGTCCAGGCTGGGAACGTTTTCCTCTATGGGGACACGAAGCTGTTGCATGTGAACCGGGTCATCGTCCACCCTGACTATGTGAATGCCTTCTTGGGCTCAGACGTGGCCTTGCTGCGTCTGGCGAAACCTGCAGTGTGCTCTGCCAACATCAAGCCCGTCAGGCTCTCCTCCCTGTCTGATAGTATCACCCCAAGGGACCAGTGCTGGGTGACTGGCTGGGGCGCCATCAGCATGTTTGGTACTTACAGAGGGTGTGGCTGGAAGGGTCTCTGCGTGGGACCTACACTTGCTCTGAGAACTATTGGAGGCCGGGTGGTGCTGGGTTTCTGGGTTACAGCTTCAGAGGGAATCCAGGGAATGGCCGAGGAACCCAGGGCACTCCCACCTCTCGTCTCCCACCCACTGCGGTCTCCATGGGAGCCTCAGCACCTGCACAGGGAAAGCCTGAGCCCAGAGCTCAGTGCTCTGAGCGGGGAAACGTTTGCTCCTCTAGTTTCTAACCTTAAAAAATGTGTTTTTGAGACACCAGAAGAACACATTGTTCATTGTCTCTCTGGTGCCCCAACTGCAGGCCTGTAGAGTGCCTGTGTGGAGTGCCAGGGTTCAGGTGGACATGGTCCCTATGAGCTGTGTCTCCACACAGTGTGTGACAGGAGGGAGCTGAGGCCAGGGATGCAGAGGGGAGGTGGCCGTGGCAGGTCAGCTTGGGCGAGGGTAGGGTCTAACCACACCTGTGCTGCTAGCCCCCCTTTTCTCCCCTAGGCTCCCTGCCCCCACCCTTCCGCCTGCAGCAGGTGGAGGTGCAGGTGGTGGAGAATGCAGTCTGCGAGCAACAGTACCACAACGCCAGCAGGCACCGCCACAGGGACCGGAGGATCATCTTGGACGACATGCTGTGTGCGGGCAGTGAGGGCCGCAGTGCCTGCTATGTAAGTCCTTTTCCACCTGCCCACCCCCATTTCACCTTTGGGGCCAATATCCAATGACTCCTTTTCCTCCTAGGGTGACTCTGGAGGGCCCCTAGTGTGCAAAGTGACAGGCTCCTGGAGGTTGGTGGGAGTGGTCAGCTGGGGCATCGGCTGTGCCCTCCGCGACATTCCTGGGGTCTATGCTCGGGTCCAGTCTTTCATGCCATGGATCCAGCAGCACATGAGGAGGTACACCTGAGAGCAGACCACTGGCCTTCTGCTGGTCAGCCAAGCCAGCCAAGGAGAAGCCAGCTCACCTCCCAAGTGTGCTGCTTTGGCCTCAGTCCCCACCCCTGAGTCTATGGTGCCCAGGTCCACTCTGACCCCTATCAGCAAACAGAGTGATGGGCAGGATGGGGCCCAGGCTTGCTGTGCAGTCTCTCTAATGAGAGGACCTGAGGAGGGGCTTGTGCTCCAGGGCACAGGTGCCCATTCTGCTTAGTGTCCAGCAGTTGAAGGACATTCGAGCTGTTTGCGCTTTGTGGCCACGATGAATAAAGATACTATGAAAATTTGTATTCTGGATTTTGTGTGAGCAAAAAGTCTCCCTTTCTCTCAAGTTATCCCAATCCAGCTCTTTCTCAAGAAGAGAAGTGCCCAAGTCCTCTGAATTAGGGAAGAAGATTTTATTATTGGATAATCACTGAAACTAGTAAAAACTTTAAAGAGCAAAATGTCTTAGAACACACTGGAAAGGTAAAGGAGAGAAACCATCACAATTGAAAGGTGAATTCTACTTGGAGGCCCTCCACAGCCCAGGATGGCCATTCTCAGCCTGAGCCGTACTGCCAGCCTCCCTTAGTAGAAGCAATAAGGAATACATAACTGGCTCGTCCTAAGAGCCACCTGATTCACCCTGTCCCACTCCTGTTGGTGCCAAATCCTTTGTGGCATGTTCTTGGTAGATGAGAGATGGTGACCACCACCCCTGGGGGCTCCCTAGGGGTACGCGTCATTCAAGGCACACTGGGTAGATTACTTCCTTCTCCTGGGGAGGCACCAGCACCCTACTTTCCAGCTGAGGAAAGTGGGGCAAAGAGAATGACCATCTTCCTGAGGTGGTGCCCTCAGCAGGCTGAATAGCCGCTGTGCAGGTGCCCACCCCCTCCACCTTCTCTCTCTGCTTGGAAGTCTGTCTCTTTGACCACATTGGGTTCTTCATGGACAAGGCTCCCAGATGAGATGGACCCACCATGTTCCAGTGATAGATACTTATCCGTGGGTTGGGCAGCATACAGGCTCCTGTAGATGAAGGCTCTGGGGTGAGCTCTCCTCTCCCTGCACAGCTTTGCTGTCCTCACTGCCCCAAGACCTGGCCTCCTCCACAGCCCAGTCAACCTCCAGACCTGTGTAATCAGCTGGGAGTGTCTATCCTGTGCCACAGTCCTCAAAGCTCCCTCTGTGTGACTGTCAGCAGCCATCTTACAACAGAGACTCATCCCAGGCGGAGGCTGTGGTGCTGTTGAGCTAGGCACCTGTGCTCTTCTCCTGTACCAGCATGCTCACCGCTCTGGCCGTGAAGGGGTCTTTCTTCCCCTTGGTCATCCCCTACTGGGTGACGTTTGTGGGACATCAGGCAGAATGGTAGGTGAGAGGCAAGGGGCTAGGGCCAGAGGGACTCACCCCAAAGTAAAGCAGAGAACACCCCAGCCTTCTCTCTGTTCTGAACTCCTCCAGTATCCTTGTCCAGCCAATCCAGGCTACCAGTCCTCAGTATCCTCCTTACCAGGACCCTCAGCTGCAGGTCCCTGGGGAGGCAATCCACTGGGAAGGTACAGCCAGCTGCTTCCCAAAGCAGGCTCTGGTTGCTTCTGTGATGCTGACTCTGTGCTATAGAGGCTCTGCCTGAGCCCCACAGGCTGTAGGAAGTAGATGTGCACATCATTGCCTGCAGGTGTAGACTTATGTCTGTGAGCCCATAGCCAAGGAGATGCTGTGTGCTAGCTACTTCCATGGCCATAAGGCTTTTGCAAGGGCAGCCCCCTGCCCACCAAGCCCCCAATCCACAGTGGGGCCAGGGAGAGTTACTGAAACTTTAAGGCCAGTGGGGATATGGAAGCAGAGAATTGGTGATGAACCTTTGCCATGGTTGGCCAAGCCCATCTCCTAATCCTCAGTGACCTGAGAGGCTTTAGTTTTCAGCTGGGGGGCGTGGTCTGGCTCAGGGAGGGTGCAGACTCTGCCTGTCACCTTGGTAACCTGGTGCCTAGGACTGTCTGACTGCAGCTGGTATCCATAAGTGCTGTAAGGATGAACCTAGAATTCCGAGCCAGCCTTGGGGGAGTGTGAGGAGGTGCTGCTAGGTACAGAGGAACATGGGTGACTCCCAAAGGGTGTAGCACACACCACCAAGCAAGGACAGAGCCCTGGCCTGTTCGTCACACACAACTGGAACGCCAAAGGGGTCCCCATGTATCACATTCCCTGGTGTCCAGCCCTCCCGGCTCCCTGCCCACCTCAGCCTCAGTCTGAGAGCCTTCACCTGAGCCCTGTTCTTCCTTATTCTTCTTCTAGGATGATGATGGGGGCCTCTGGTCTGTTGACTCAGGGACAGGTGCAGGGCACAGGTGGTGATGCTGAGCTTTAGCCAGGGATGTCCAAGTCTCAGTGTCCTGGAGTGTATGCCAGGTCACTGCCTACCTGCTCTGAGTCCACATCGTGTGCTTCTGCCTCACCACTTCTCTGGGGGCTGATCCCTCCCAAACCTCCCAAACCTCTCATCTCTGGGGCTCCTTCTCTGCTCTGTCCTGCTGGGTGTCGACCCCACCGTTCCTTTCCTGTGTGGCCAGTAGATTGCTTTAGGGCAAAGGGCAGAAAAGTAAAGTTTCTGGGACTCCTGCTGAGCAAAGAGCTGGGCTAGAATGGAAGCACAATTGGGGGTTCTGAGAAGAGTAAATGCTTGGGAAACGCTTCTGGCCTGTTCACTGGATCGAGAGCAGGGGCTGCAGGACCAGAGGGGTGCGCTGTTGGTCTGGTGTGCACAGGGCCCGCTCCTCAAGCCTCTGCTGCCCTAGGCAGGATGGGCTAAGAAATTTGCATGCCACTCCTTAAAGGGCAAAAAGCTGCCTCTCCCCCTGCTTTTAAATTTTTTTTTTTTTGGAGTCAGGACAACCTCCCGAGCAGCTGGAGTAGCTGAGACTAACAGGCTTGCGCCGGCTCTTCGGGGTAGCTCTTTCCGTGGTGTTTTGCTATTTTAATGCCCATCATTCTTGGACACTGGACTCCCCCAGTTTGTGCCCCGTGCGGAGGGGCGGGAGTGGGCGCCGCAGTGGGGAGAGGAGCTCAGAGGAGCCAGACCCTTCCGCGGGAAGGTGCGGGAGGCGGCCATGCACCGCCTTGCCCAAACACCCCCGACACCGCCAAGCCGCGGAACTTCACTTACAGATGACCATGAACTCCACGACAGCGCCAAGCGCGGTCGCGCAGCCCCAGGGTCTCCAGGACCACCCCGGCAGCCAGCGCGCACCGGTCAGCGGGGGCGGACCCCACCCACCTGAGGCCCACACGACCCGCGCACACCTGGCCGCTCTTGATTGGCTGGTGGCATCAACCGGGGTGCCCACGATCGGCCGCAGGCCCTATGGCGTTAGGGGGGCGTGACCGGCAGTTCCCGGGGCCAAGCTGCAGGGTCCGCACCGCGCAGTGACCAGTCTCCTCGCCCTCCTGTCTTCCTGCAGATGCGGACCCGGAGAAGGACCCGGAGACCCCTGTGAAGGTGGGACTCCCGGCTCTCCGCATGCGGTTCCCTGCCTACGGGTAGCCCTGGGCCACCACTGGCTTGCGGGCTTCACTCCTGCGCACTGCTTCTGAGCTTGTGCGCCTTGTGCAGGAGTTCCTGGCCCTTGGGTTGTGGCAGAGTGCTGTTCCACCGAAAGGGTCGCTAGGATTTGCTGATCCATTCACAAGCGGATGAACATCTGGCTTGTTTCCACTTCAGGCTCTTATGAATAAAGTTTCTGTAAACATTTTTGTGGGAACATAAGTTTTTAATTATCTTGGGTAAACACCGAATGGAATTGCGAAGGCATACAGCAGGTTTGCATTTATGTGGTTTCCGAATTATCCTTGAAGGCGCTGCAGAGAGTGCATCCCTCTCCGCGGTGGATGGCATCAGTGTCCTTGCCAGCACCTGGGATCTGCAATCTCTGTGGCTTCAGGACTTCCGGGGAAAATGCAGTGTATCCCACCCTTTTGTTTTTCTTTCTTTTTCTTCTTTCTTCTCTCTCTCTCTCTGTTTTTTTTTTTTTTTTTTTTTTTTTACTGGAAATGAACCAGGAGCGTTTTACCGCTGAGCTACATCCCCAGTCCTTTACAGATTTTATTTTTAGACAGGGCCTGTTGAGTTGCGGAGGCTGGCGTCAGACTTGAGATCCTCCTGCCTCAGCCTCTTAAATTGTTGGGATTACAGGCGAGGCACCATGCTCAGCTCATGTGTTTGTAATTTGCATTTTTGCCATGGCCAACAGTATTGTGCATTTTACCACGTGTTTATATTTTCTATTTATATATCTTTAGTGAATGTTCAAATATTTCCCCCTATTTAATGTTTTAATAATTTCATAAAACTTTATACACCTCAAAATGCTTTCAACCCTGTGCCATGAAGAACTGAGATCTAATTGTACAGAGCATGATAAAGCCGGATGGTACCAAGGAGATGAAAGGCCTGAAAGACCTGACCTTCTCTCTGTTTGAAGCAGGAAGCCATGAGCCGAGGCCCAAGTGTCTGCCCACTGCAGGGACAGTGGGCAGTGAGCCCTGGACCTGTAGGGTGGTGGGGGACAGCCACACACCTGTGCCCTGGGCAGGGAGTGAGGAGGAGGAGAACAGGGCTCCACCAAAGACCCCACCTACTCCTGTATCTCCATGTGGACACTACAGCCCGGGGAACAAGCTTAGTGACACAGAGAGACCACACAGGGACAGGATGGGACCCGGGCATCCCTGCAAACCCAGGCGGTGGATGGAGTCCTTGCCACCTTCTCCAGGAAGCCCTCCCTGGATCCTGCAGCTCACACCTCCCCAGAGAGCCTCTGGGAGCCCAGCCTTTGGGGTTCTCCTCCTGAGGCCCAGAGGAGGGGAGACAGCTGGGGGAGACAGCTCAGGACTCCGTGATAACCTGCCCTCCAGGATGTCCTCACATCCGTCCTCAAGTCCCATGACTCCACCACAGATCAGATGGGCAAAGCCCCCCAACTGCCCAGACCATGCAGGGCTTCCTCTCTGGCTGGGACCTGATGACTGAGCTGATTAGGGGCCCCGGGCCCAGCCTGAGACTTTCCCACCCCCTCCCCAGCCCCATGCACAGGCTGGGGTTGGAGGGCCCCACCAAGAACCTCAGGGCAGGACCCCTCTTAGGAGTGGGGAAACCGAGGCAGGGTGGCAGTCCTCTGATGGTGAAGCAGGCTGTGGCTCTGCGAGGCCCAAGCCCAGCCCCCCTCATGCCAGTACCCGGTCCTGGCCGAGGCTCATGGTGCATGGTCTGAGCTGGGATGGCGAGGAAGGGAATGTGCTGGGTGGGGCCCAGCCTCTCTCAGATGGACCACACCTGGGAGGTGGCCGATGGGACAGGGAGTGGGACCTGCCTGGTCAGCACAGCACAGGGAAGCAGGGTGGGGTCCAGGTGTGCCTAGCCCAGGCTGCCTACCCAGCGCCCAGCAGCCTCACATTGCCCAGTGACGGTGGGGTGCAGGGTCTTAGGGAGCCAGATCCGCTGAGACCTGACCCCCAGGAGGGGACTTCAGGAACCTCACCTTCCCCAGCTCCATCTTTGGGGACTCCATTCCCCTTCACACTGCTGCCTGCAGAGCCCTTGACACCCCGGAACCCAAGCTGTTGTGAAAGATACCCCAAATCATCCCTGGGTCCCCTTGGCACCCCTGTGACAGGTGCTGCTTCCTCTCATCTGACAGAGGAGTTCAGGGAGGGGGCGGCCATTGCCTTGGCCATGCCCCCACCTTGCAGGGTCTTCTCAGGTCCATGGAACATGGGTTGAGCCAGTCCACTATTTTGGAGCCAAGCCTGACTTGAAAGCCAGTTCTCCAGGTTTCAAAGGGGGACCTGCACTTGGGTGACTGCCCTGCGGTCACCACTCAGAAATCCACCTTTGTTTTCTGAACCAGGGTCCTGCAATTTCAGTTTGCATGAAAACCCCAAATCCTGCAGCTGATTGCAGCATCGTGTACGGTGCTTTCTAGATGCACTGTTGGGGTCCTGAAGGTAGCCCCAGTGCTGCCATCTGCCAGACCAGGGTGTGCGGATGGTGGGGACCAACCCATTGCTCCATGACAAGCCAGGTTATTCAGATCCCATGTGCTTTTTCTTTTCATGCCCCTTTTCTGCTGCAGTATCAAATCCAGTCTGCCACATAAGATTGGTCATTGAGCCATCTCTGTTCCTGCTAATCTGGTATAAATGAGTCAATAGATGAGGAAAAATAAAATTTAAGAAGTGCTCAATGTGATTACACACCTGTAATCCCAGTTACTCAGTATTCCTGGGTGCTGCCCAGGTCCCCTAATCTGTTCGGTCATCAGGCCCCAGGCAGAGAGAGGACGGTTGGGAAGGGCCTGCCCTGTGCCCATCTTATCTGCAGTGACCATGGGACCTGCAACGGGTGTGGCCAAAGGGTGATTGCCGAGTGTGGGTTTCCATGGGTCACTACTCAGAGGGCCAGAGCTGTCTCTGGCAGCCTTGGTCTGAGCCTTGGACTGCATTTTCATATTTCTTTTTTTCAAAAAAATACACTATTTTAATCAATTCATTTTTATTTTTCCCACTTTTTATGGGTGCATTATAGTTGTAAGCACTGGTGGGATTTGTTGTTATATATTTGTACATGCACATAATACATAATGTAATGATATAATTTAGCCAATACCACTCCTTAGCACTTTTTCCCTCCCACCCCAAATACACTATTTTAGAAAAGATTTAGATTCATAGAAAAATTATAAAGATAGAATAAGGTACCCATACTCCTTGCATCTGATTTCTGCTGTTACTAACACCATACATTGGAATGATTCATTTGTTATAATCAATGAGGTGATATGATACACTATTTAACAAAAGTCCATAGTTGATTTGGATTTCATTACTTTTCCCTGAATATCCTTTTCCTGTCCTCAGGCTCCTCTGGGCAGGACAGCTTCTGACTTCCCTGCTCTTGGCTCCAGAGGGTTTTGCAGAGTGCAGTCACGGGGTTTATAGAAGGTCCTCTGTCAGGATTTTGCCAGCTGTTTCTCTCATAGGAGTATTGTGGGTCCTGGGGGAGGACCACAGGGGTGAGTTTCCTGCTCCTCAGCTGCATCAGGGGCGTATGTGGCTGTGGAAGTCCATCTTGCTCACCTGGTGGAGAGAGTGCCCAGGTGTGTCCACTGAGCCGGCTCGCCTCCCCAGGCGAGTCTGGTCAGTACTGTGCAGAAAGAAGCCGTGAGGCGTGGCCATGCCTCACTTCTGGAGAAGCATCCCCTTGTGGAATTCTGAGGGAGACTGAGCTCTTTCTCCCAATTTGATTATTAATTCAGTTACACATTTGTATCTGTTTGGACTCATGAATGTTGAGCTTTGGGTCAGGGCCCAGCAGTCCTTCATCTGTGGCCTTGGTTGTTTTGGCCTGTCTTCAGGGGCTCGCTTGGTCTTAAAGTGTCTCTTGCATCTGGTGCGAGACGCCGTGGCTCTTGTGCATCTCCTGCCAGGGGCCCAGGGCCAGCTATCCCCTGGTTCCCTTCAGTGAGAAAGGCACTGGAAACAGAGACTGGGCCACGTGCCCCTGCTGCTAGGGGGTGTCACTGCCTCTTGGCCTTCTGCCACCAGAGCACAGTATCGGTGCCACGTGGGAAGGAGATGTGTGTCTATTTGTAGCAGCACTCCCTCTGTATGCTGTCCTGAGTCTCTCCTGGTCCAGCACCTCAGGGGCCACGCCAGCCCCTCTCCGAGCTTGCTACAAGACACCAGCCCTCCTGTGCTCCACGGATCAGTCCTAGCACCCTGTGTAGCAGCTTGGGTGCTGTGGACCTGCACCCCTGTGGGGGCTTTCTCCAGGGAGCACTGGCCCTGTGCCTGGTCCTCCCCCAGCCTCACAGCCAATGCCCCCACTGTCCAGGGCCGTCCGTGTCCCCCTCCCTGTTGTAGTTCTTCCCAGGCACGTACCATGGTTCACCCACCTGTGTCCTTCTGGTGGGCTTTGGTGTTTCCTGCTTGGGTTGTTACAATAAAGCTGAAGTGAACATTATTGTTTAAGTCTTCTCCCCGAGCTACATTTTTATTTCTCTTGGGTAATTCCCTAGGGTGGAATGGCTGAGTCACAGGGAAACTTCGTTTCTGAAAGTGTAGCGGCTGCAGAGGCTGGGGAGGCCGCTCAGTGGCAGGTGCCTGACTGGCATGCATGAAGTCTGGGGTTGATCCCCAGCAATGTAAAAAAGAAAAAATAAAATTTGTTACAGACCAAAGTAGGAAAATTCCACTTACAATGGCATCCAAAAGGTTAAAACACCTAGAAATCAACATGACCAGAAGGTGGAACACAGGTGCTGGGCTGCCTCTAAGCCCTTTCCCACATTCCTGATGCTCTGGCATTTGGGAGACTGCCCCTCAGGGCTGGCTAATTCCTGGAGGTGGTGAATGAGTCCCCTGGGACTCACCTGACACCTGTCAGGTGGTGCATGAACCTTGAGAGCCTTCTGTTAAGGCCACACATGAACTGTCTGAGGTCTACTGTGGAGCTCCACTCACGGGAATTGTGCAGAACAGGTCAACCCACAGAGATGGCAGACTGGAGGAGAGTGGGGACACGGGGTCTGTTTTTTCTGGCGGGGGTGGTGGTGGAAATGTTTGCACGTTGCCTGGAGGTGGCTGCAGAACATGGTGTATGCACTAAACCCTTGGACTTGTTCCCTCTGAATGACAGGTGTCATCCATGCCGATTTATCCTCATTAGCAAATGTCTAAGTTGGTTGCCGAACGAAGGCAGGTTCACTGGTTCCACCGTTCCACGTAAGGAGCTCGCTTATCCACAAAAACGACTGTTGAGGTTTCCAGAGAGATTGGTCCTTCTTCACCCTCTCCCTGGCAGTCTGGCCGTTCCTCGCTTCCTGGCACTTGGTCCTGTCAGGCTTTGGTTCAATCTCAGACTCTGGGTTGCTGCAAGCTCCTCTGGGAACATAGTTTTGGACCATTTGAGAACTCCAGTGACAGGAGGGTTTTAAAGGAGAGGTACCTGCCCACAGCACCACCCCAAGCCTCCTGAACCCTGAGACAGTCACAGGCATCCTGGTGGCTCCTGTCACTGGAAGTCTACCCACTGCCCCAGGGCAGCAGGAGCAGAGGACCTGCTAAAACCCAGGGCACATCAGGTGGCTCCTCGGCTGACAGAGATGGCCCTTTGTCTCCTGGACTCTCCTGAGCCCTGGCTTCTAAGAAGTTCAGGCCAGCACCTTGCAGGGCACCCTCACACTGGGCCATCTGATGCTTTCTCACGAGTAGACTGAAGTTCTATGCTTTTGGCAAGAATATACAGGTAGGACTGAGTGCTGCGTCTTGTTGAGGGTGTCCAGCCTGCTGTCCACTTTCACTGCTGGATAAGGGGGGACTGCCAGGTCCCTTACTGTTTTCCCCTTAGTAACTAATACATACTTCATGGGGAGATTTAAGACTATGTAAGTAGCTGATTTCTCATCAGAATTTTAATTAATTTATTTATGACCACACAGACTCATGAGACATCCTATCTTATTCAAATCTTAATTTGTTTCTTTTTCCCAATTATAATGTGGTATGCCAGTCAGATCTGGGGATTCTGGGGGCTCATACAAATTGGCTTCCATGTCTTTTTTCTTTTTTTTTTTTAATTCACTGCTAGACATTGAGCATGGGGTGCTCTACCTCTGAGGTATATCCCCAACTCTTTTAAAATCTTTTAGGTTTTGGGATAGGGCATCACTAAGTAGCTGAGTCCAGTCTTGAACTTGTGACCCTTCTGCTTCAGCCTCCTGAGAAGCTAGGTTAGCAGCGTGCATCACCATGCACAGCTTCTAGGTCTTTTTCACAGGTCTCAATTTCTCTTGGAGTATTTCCTTGTACAAGATGACTTTCGCTCCTTTTTTACTTCCTCTGATCTGGACATTTCTGCAGGAAACCCAGTTCCTTTCAGTGGTAGATTGTATTTAGAAACCAAAATCTAGGGGTTGGGTATTTCTCATTGCTTTTGGAGTGTCTCTGCTCTCAGCCTTCTCAGGGGACATGTATGGGGTCATGCAGGTGTGCACATGTGCATTCCCACACTCCCTCCTCACTGTGTCTGCACAGGAAGCCATAAGCTCTCTGTCACCTGTGCCTGAGGCCGTGTTCCTATCCCATGGCTCATCAGGTCTGCCCCCTCTCCATCCTGGGCAGCCCCCCACCTAATTCTTCCCCCATGAGCAGCAGTCCCGCCTCCCCCAGGGCTCTCCTGCTCAGACTCTGACCTCACTCTGGGCCCTGTGGCTCCCCTGCACTGCCCGACCTGAGGCTCAGGACTGACTCTGAGGAAAGGGGCTAGGAGTAACTGTAACCCTTTGTTACAGCTCTAGCCATTTTGGTGGTATATGGCAGGACCCCTCGGTGACTTCCCCTGCAGCTCCCTGTAGAAGGGTATCTTCATGCCTTTCTGGTGGCTACGTGTGCCCCTCACTGTTCCTCTGCAGGATCTGCTGCCCGTCACAGAGCTGTAGAGTTCTGCTTTCCTCTTCCTTTCATGCCCTGCTTCCTGGGGTGAGGATCCAGTTCACCTAGGAATGTGGCTGTAGGCCCCAGGACAAAGGGTGCAAGTCCTTTGTCCTCCACAGGACTATTGAGGTACCTTGCTCCTGGGCTGCAGATGGCCTCTGGTTTTCCTAGTTTTCAAGTTGGGTGTGGCCCGATCTATCAAGCCTTTTCTTAGGTTCCTGCTTTGAGTTCCTTCTGTGCTTAAGGCAGGGGAGGTTCTCTTTTGTGCTGTGTGACTTTGCTTGTTACTTTAGGTCTATGATCCACTGTGAATTATGGTGTGAGGAACCAGTGGTTGAGACTCTGTCCCCTGTGCAGAAATGTAGATGTGGTCATGTCTGTTGAAAGATATCCTTTTCTTCTGTGGAACGTAGTTGGTGGTGTGTGCTGGTCTCTCTTGACTGCTGGCTGCATTGATGTATAGGTCCCGAACCCAACACCAACTCTGTAATCCCTGCAGCCTTATAGTCGGGCATCTCACATCACATGTCTGACCCAGAGCCAGTGTGTGACTGGGCCACCAGGGAGCAGGATTTGAGGGGTGTGATCCCCTCCTCCACTCTGCCACTACAGGGGTGGCCAGCTTCCCCTGAACCTGCCCCTCCCCAGAGCCTCTGTGGCCCCCAAAAAGCCTGTAGGAGGCAGAGGCCTCCATAGTGGACACAGGCTTACCCCAGCATGGATGGCAGCACCTTCAGGTCACACATGCTGTGTGCTGGGGGCTGGCATATCCTGCCAGGTGGGCCTAGGGCACAGTGGAGGGCTTGGGGCCTGGAGTCCAGCAAGACTCCCCACTAACAACACTGGCCCTCACCCTGCTCTGCCCTCCAGGATGACTGGAGGCCCGCTGACCTGCCAGGTGGATGGGACCTGGTTGCAGGCTGGCGTGGTCAGCTGGGGCGAGGCTGTGTCCATCCTTACCAGCCTGGGGCCACAGCCACATACCCATGTGAACTGGATCCTCACCCCAGAATTGGGGGCCTTGGGGCTGGGAATTCTAGGGCTCCCCTGGCCCCTTCTCCTGGCTGGGCTCTTCCTGCTGGTCTTCCTGCTGCTGCTGCTGCTGGCCTCCTGCATCCTGGTGGCCAAGTGCTGGCTGCACAGAACCTGGCTTGAAGTTCCCACACTACTAAGCCCTGATCCCGATTTGCATGACCCCCTCCCTCCCCCGCCAATCCTCCTCCCTGCAGAGCAGAGAGAGGGCAAGGGCCACATCCTAGGCCTGTCCGGGTTCTGTCAGCAGTTCAGTCCCTGCGCAATAATGCCTTCTTCCTGGAGGGAAACAAAGGCTGAGAAGGTGCAGTTATCTGCCAAGGTCCGGGGAGGAGGGTACACCGACCCAGGTGCTTTCTGTTCAGTCTCATTCACCCCCGCACGGCCTTTAGCAGTCCTGGAAGGCCCCCAGCACCGCCGAGGCCAAAAGACCTCGGTCAGTGGCATAACCTGGTCGTGGCAGCAGAGCCTAAAGGTGCACCTGCGCAGCTGCGCCCAGCGCGTGCCCAGCGTTGACGGCCGGGCTCTCCCTCTGGTGGAGACAGGAGGAACTGCGTCGCTCCGAACATCGCTTGGCTTTGCGGAAGAAAACAGCAAACTGTTTGTGAACCCCATGATTGGCGCACATAAAATCCTAAGGGTCCCGCAGACGCTGGCGAAGTAGAACTTGGCAAGGCTATGGAGCGTGACGAAATACAAAATGCTGTACTTTTAAATTTATTTTTTTTTAACATTTATTTTTTAGTTTTAGGTAGGCACAATATCTTTATTTTATTATTTTATTTTTATGTGGTGCTAAGGATCAAACCCAGTGCCTCGCGCATGCTAGGCGAGCTCCCTACCCCTGAGCCCCAGCCCCGGACCGTGTACTTTTTAATTTTTTTATTTTTGGTACCGGGGGTTGAATCCAGGGGCGCTTAACCATTGAGCCACATCCTCAGCCTTTTTTTTTTTTTTTTTTTTAATTTAGAGACAGGGTTTAGCTGCGTTGCTGAGGCTGGCTTTGAACTCACGATCGCCCAGCCTCAGCCTCCCAAGCTGCTAGGATTATAGGCTTGCCACCACACCAGGTTCAAAACGCTGTAGTTCTGAATATTATCCACTACTAACTGGAAAATGATCTTGGAAGCCCTAGCAAGAGTGAGGATCAATCCACAGTACCACAATCAATCAATCAAAACTTGAAAGTCAATATCGTTTCTATCAGAATTTTTTAAAAAAATTAAATTCTAGGCATAAAGACAGCACATTGTCCTGTTTTTGTTGTTATTTTGGGTTGTCAATTATCTTTACTTTTTTTTGGGGGGGGGGAGAGTTGCTGGGGATCAAACCCAGGGCCTTGCACATGCTAGGCAAGTGCTTTATCACTGAGCTACACACCTAGCCCCTCATGAACTAGGTATTTTTTGGGGTGGGGGAACCAGGGATTGAACTCAGGGTCACTCAACCACTGAGTTTGTATTTTCTTCATAGACAGGGTCTCACTGAGTTGCTTAGCACCTTGGTTTTGCTGAGGCTGGCTTTGAACTTGGGATCCTTCTGCCTCAGCCTCCCATGCCCCCATCCCTAAGTTTTTGACAAAGAAATATGTCTTTCACCTTTACAGATATTTCCACTTTCAGGACTTTCCTTTGTGTGAGTCTAGATTGTCACCTCTTGTTTTCTTTCTCCTGCTGAACTTCTTTTGACAATTTGGTGACAGGAGGTGCTGGCACTGGTCTTTCAGCAAGCCAACAGTTCATTTCCTTCTAGTAGTCCTTTGACGATGGCTTCCAACCTTCTGCTGACTGCCAGTTTCTGAAGACTTTCATTGATTTCCAGCCCTATGTGATGTGCCCCAGCCTGTTTTTCTTTAATTGTATTCTATTTGGTGTTCATTGAGATTGTTAGATCTGTTTGTTTATTTTTCCATCAAATATGTAAAGTTCTGGCCATTTGCTCCTCAAACATCCCCCATATCCATCCCCTTTCTCTCGTCTGGCTTTCTGCCTCACATTCTGCAGCCTGGGTCTCTCCCGACTGCATGTCCCGAGGCAGTGTGGGTTTCTCATCCCTACTTGTTCTGCTCTCCTGTCCCCCTCACCCACCTGGCTTTCTACCCATCTTGTCCCTTTGCATCTGCACTACCAGTTAGTTCTGTCAACAATCCCACCTCCATTAGAACAGTCTCCCCCAGAGGAGACGTGAGGAGGATGTGCCCCTCCCAGGGAGCGGTGGTGGGGCTCGCAGGTTTGAGGTGTGGGGGAGAGTGACTGAGTATCTCTCTGAGAGGGTGTCACTTCCAGTGACCCTAAGACCAGTGGCTGTCCTCCAGCGGAGGAGGTCCATGCTTAGGGCCGGGGTAGCAGATACTGCTTGCCCATCCTGGGCTCGCAGCAAATAGACGAGAGGCTCCATCACCTCTATCCCCTGATTGGCTCAGTGATAGCCAATCACAGGGACCACACCCTCACAGCTATTGACTGGTCCACCTTTCAGGCCAGAGCCAATGGGAGCATCCTTTGGAGGACAAGGGTCCAGAGCCCCTGACTCAGTGGTGCCCGCAGCCCCTGCCCGCTGTGTGTCCAGCCACCCCTGTTCACCCTCTTGCCCCCTGTGGGCTCCTGTGGTTCCATCTTGCCAGCCCTTGACAGGGCTTGGGAGTTTGTTAGAGAATGAGTAGAAGCCAGATCGCTGAGCAGGACAAGCCCCTGCTGGTCTCATGCTGTCCTTGGGGTGTCCAGAGGGCAGGGTGGGGGCAGGGGCTGCACTGCCCTCTGCTGAGGGCCCAGAAGTAGCAGTGAGGCAGAATAAGGGCTGGGGTCCCAGAGTCCTAGGTGAGGAGGTAGCCCACATGGGACCCTTTGAGTAGCAGTGTGTCAGGAGAAGGGGCATATGGACAGGCAGGACAGTGATCATCCCTGGACCTGGCGGGGGGTGCAGGAGAGGTTTGGGGGAGGACTGCTGGCTGCAGGTTTCTTCTGCTATCCTGCTCTGACCACGTGCCATCCGATGTGCAGATAAAGTGCAGATGGCAGAGATAATGAAGTACCCTCATTACAGTTTGATGGGGAGCAGCAGGGCCCCTTCCTGACCCAGACTCATGGTGCTGTTGATGTGACCCTCCCTCAAGTTGAGTCTCCCAGGGCTGTGCCACACCCCTGGGATCAGAGAACTTGGGTGGGGTGAGAGTGCCATCCCGAGCACTGGTCCTTTGAGGGTGGCCCACAGACATGGACTTATGCCCTGCATTCAACTTGAGGAAGCTTTTTTGGTAGGACAGCAATGGTCCCTGAATGCCACTGTTCCTGAGGCCTCCTAGGGAGTCCTCTGAGCCTGGGCAGGAGGGGACAAGAGCCCAGCTGAGAGGTGTTGCCATTCTGGTGCTAGAGATCCAGCAGCTGAGAGATGGACCCCTGGGAAGTACACAGCCCATGGCAGGGCCCATCTGGGAGCCCCCATACACAGGGGACCTGGCAGACCCTGAGCAGACTGGAGCCCTCTCATCCCTACACTCCCACTGGGGCAGAGCCTGAGAAGCCAGCATCCTGTCCTGGGGGTGGTTTTGTGGTTGCCTGTGCATCCCAAAGTTAAGGCCTGTGGACATCAGATAGACATCTTGGTGTGGGGGCATGTGTCACATGGGTGGCCCTGGGTCTGAGTCATCTACTTCCTCCACATCTGGATTGGAGGTGGAGGGCCCTCTGACCCTAGCCTGATTTGGAAGGATAAATGGAGGGGAGCAGGCTGGGTGGAGGAGAACAGGGACTGGCCAGGGTGAGTGTCCCCCACTCAGAGCCCCTGACATCTGTGTGCCCCATCTTTGGATCCCTGAGACCTCAGACCCCTAGTCTGGACCAGTGCTCTCATCCACATGGGCCCTGGCTCCATTTTGCTGCACACTCTGCCACCCTGATCCGTCTGGCTTCACGCTGCCCACTCCTCACTCCTTCCAGATGCTGAATCTGCTGGTGCTGGCACTGTCATTTCTGTCCAGCATGGTCCATGGGGCCCCTGGTGAGTCCTGCCCTAGGCCTGCCCTTTCCCTGCCCCCTGCCCCCTACTCCCTGCTGCACAGGCTGGGGCAGGTGGACTCTGAGAAGCCCAGCATTGTCCCAGGCAGGGGAGGGCTGATCCAGGGTGGGGCTGACCCCGGTGCTGAGGGTGCTCCCTGCCCCAGCCCCAGGCCCAGCTCTGGAGCGAGTGGGCATCGTGGGAGGACGGGAGGCCCCTGAGAGCAAGTGGCCCTGGCAAGTGAGCCTGAGACTCAACATCAGATACTGGATGCATGTGTGTGGAGGCTCCCTCATCCACCCACAGTGGGTGCTGACCGCTGCTCACTGCGTGGGACCGTGAGTCTCCATGGGACTGCGGGTGGGGTGAGGGCCTGGTTCATCCTGTGGCCCCAGATGCTCTGGAGGCTCTGATGTTGGGGCCACTTCGTCCTCCTGAGCAAGACTCTCCTTTCCCAGAGAAATCAGAAGCCCAGAGTTCTACCGGGTACAGCTTCGCCAACAGCACCTTTACTACCGAGACCAGCTGCTGGCCATCAGCAGGATCATCCCTCACCCCAACTACTATATTGTGGAGGATGGGGCGGACATTGCCCTGCTGGAGCTCGAGGATCCAGTGAACATTTCCAGCCATGTTCACCCCATCTCTCTGCCCCCTGCCTCGGAGACCTTCCCCTCTGGGACACCGTGCTGGGTGACAGGCTGGGGGAATGTGCATGATGGCGGTGGGTGGCTGGGACAGCTGAGGGCTTGGGCAGGGGGGCTCGAGACCACACCATGGCCCCAGCCCTGGGGGTTCCCTTTGGGGAACAGGGAAGGGCGCTGATCAACCTTCTCCTGAGGCTGCTCCCTCTTCTTTCACCCCAGAGTCCCTCCCACCACCGTTTCCCCTGAAGCAGGTGAAAGTCCCGATTGTGGAAAACCACCTTTGTGACGCGCAGTACCACACAGGGCTCTACACAGGGGACAGCGTTCACATTGTCCGTGATGACATGCTGTGTGCTGGGAACAAAGGGCACGACTCCTGCCAGGTGGGCCCTTGTCCCTCACACCCCCCACGTGGGCCTTGCCCCCCCGCACTGACTCTTGTTCTCCCCAGGGTGACTCTGGAGGGCCCCTGGTCTGCAAGGTGAAGGGTGCCTGGCTGCAGGCGGGCGTGGTCAGCTGGGGTGAGGGCTGTGCTCATGTCAACCGGCCGGGCATCTACACCCGTCTTACCCACTACTTGGACTGGATCCACCGCTATGTCCCCAAGGTCCCCTGAGCCAGGTTGGCAGGGTTGCCACCCAGATCAGGGCATCATCAGTCCTCTCCTGCCTCAGCACACTGTTTTCTTCCCAGGTGGCATCACCCCACCTTCCCAATCCCCCTACTCCTGCCCTGTGGACCCCTCCACCTGCCTCCCAGTCTGTAGGTGGCAGGTGCTAATTCTCCTGGCTGCTGTGTCTCATTAAAGTGCAGAGAAAGCATCATGGTGGTCACTGTTTTTTTTTTTTTTTTGGCTAAGGGCATCTCTAGGGAAGAAAGGTGTCCAGGTAGCGACTGGGTGCACCAGCTGTAGCTATGGGGTCCCTGGCCCCGAGACTTGGTCTGCGGTCATGAGTCGGGCCTCCTCACCAATGCCTGTCCCTAGGCCGGCTGCTCTTCCACACAAACTTGTTTCTTTTTTATTCTTTTTTTCAGGGGATGGGTAGCAGGGATTGAACTCAGGGGCATACTGACCCACATCCCCAGCCCTATTTTGCATTTTCTTTAAGACAGGGTCTCACTGAGTTGCTTAGGGCCTCACTTTTGCTGAGGCTGGCTTTGAACTTGCAATCCTCCTGCCTCAGCCTCAATTACTGTGAGCCACAGTGCCCTGCTCACAGGTTTGTTTCTGTGTGGTGTGGGAGGTAGAACAACGTGGGCAGCTGAAGGGAGCAAGGTAGAGGACAGAGAGCACCCGTGGCCAGGTGGAGAGAGCATGGGCAGCTGCAGAGCCCAGCCCCACCCACCTCTCCCCATCCTAACCCCCTGCCAGGTGCCTCTGCGTAGCTCCAGTGTTCTCTGGTCTGCTTGGAGGTGAGTGCTGCCCTGGTGACAGCTGAGTGCAGCAGGGGTCATTCCTTCTCTCTGCCATGCAGAGCCCTGTTTGGCAGCTGTGTCAAGCTGCTGCAGATGGGCTTTGGGGTTTCCGACTCCAGGCCCTCAGGACTGGGAGGCTGAGCTGTCCAGACATGCAAGGTGCCCAGCATCTGGCAGGTTTGGCGAGGGCAGTGGCTGGGCTCAGGGTGCCTTCTCCTCCTGTTGGGGCTTCAGACGTGTTCATGGGCATAGCAACCCACCTGTGCTTCCTCATCCTTCCGCCTTCTGTACACGGAGTGGCAGAAACCCTCCTTCGAGGTTTATTGTGTTTTTATGATTATGAAAGAGGGCAGTGCTTTCTTGCAAGGGGCCCTGTTCCACACCTGGGTCCTGGTGGGGCTGTGAGCTCCATTGTCCCCCTCTACGGTTGGGCTGGAGCCCCGAGGGCTGTGCCTTCACCCTGGTCTTGCGCCCTTCCCTGTGGGACTCGTGTTCTGTGCTGTTGTCAGGCTGGGTTGTATTTCATCCAGTCTCCTGGGATTAGGCTCCATAAGCTCCAGGTGTTTCTTCCTGGCTCCTGGCCGGGCTGCAGGGTTCCCCAGACGTCCAACCCTGCCTTCTCTCCAGGCACACAGTATGTCGTGTGCAGACCCTGAGCTGGCCCCTTCCTTCCACAAACAGTGCACATGAGAGCTCATGGACAGATGGGGCCCAGTTTTGCCTCCTGGGAACCCTCTGTTTGGCACTGACCCTTTCCTTTGCTGGGGAGGGGCTCTGGCTTCTGACCCACTGTCCACATCGAGGTTTCAGGATAGATATGTCAGTCGGGTCCTTGATGAGTGCTGTGGTTGCTCCCAGGCCCTGTGTGCATCGTGTATTTAGACATGCTCATGCTTATAAAAAAGACAGTACCCTCCTTTAGGATGATTCTGAGAACTTTTGGGCAAGAAGAAACTTTTGGGGTAGGTGGTGGTACTGGGGATTGAACCTGGGGTGCTCTACTTCTGAGGTACCTCTCCACATCTTTTTATTTTTATTTTAATTTTGAGTTAGGGTCTCACAAAGTTGCTGAGGTTGGCCTTGATCTTGCATTCCTCTTGCCTCAGCCTCCCAAGGCTCTGGGATTGTAGGTGTGCACCACTACCCTTGGCAGAGAAGATATTTTCTAAAGAAACATTTGCTTCCTCTCCTTGCAGTCATCAAATACAAAGATGTTGGTTTAATCTGCAGAATCTCTGGAAATGATCTTTTGGGGGATCTGAATGGCCTGCCAGTTCCTCATCTGGACCCTCCTGCTTCTGTCTCTGCTCTGGTAGCCCCTCAGTCTCTTTAGGTATGAGAATCATGAGGAAGGAAGTACTAACCCTCTTTAGTGTTCCTTTTGGTTTTAATTTTCAATGACAAACTTGATGTCTGCCTATCAAAAAAACAAAAGATAAACCTGGAGGTATTTTCCTCTCCACCTCCACCCCACGGCCCATCTCTCTTGGGGTCACCACAGGTCGGGGAGTGATCTCCTGTGAGTGTTTCTGACATCCTTCAGCAAGGTTGGAGGTTGTGCACAGTGGGGGCAAGGGACCAAGGTTCCCCAGGAAAGGTGACATATGGGGGTGGGGGCAGATCCAGAGAAGAGAGGGCAGGGTGGCCTTCCTCTTATCTGGCCCTGGATCCCAGCTCAGCCCAGCTCAGGCCAGCCACAGTTGAAGGATTCATGTGGGCCTTGCCCTATCAGGGCTGCCAATCTCAGGGCCAGGCTGAGGGGTTGGGGCCCAGCCCCTGTCTTTACCATCCAGGGTTCCTCCCCAGAGACAGTGTCCAGAAGGTCAGCTCACTGCAGACAGATGCAGCCCAATGATGCCCCCCTGGGCAGCTGACCCTTCGAGGTGGGGGCATGGACAAGGCCAGGCTGCCCACTCCCTGAATACCTCTGTCAGATGAGAGGAAGCAGCACCTGTCACAGAGGTGCCAAGGGGACCAACAGGATGATTTGGGGTGTCTTTCACAACAGCAGGGTGTCAAGTGTCAGGTGTGTCAAGTGCTCTGCAGGCAGCAGCGTGAAGGGGAACGGAGTCCCCAAAGATGGAGCTGGGACAGGTGAGGGCCCTAAAGTCCCCTCCTGGGGGTCAGGTCTCAGCGGATCTAGCTCCCTGAAGACCCTGCACCCCACCGTCACTCGGCAATGTGAGGCTGCTGGGCCCTGGGTATGGCAGCCTGGGCTGGGCACACCTGGACCCCACCCTTCTTCCCTGTGCTGTGCTGACCAGGCAGGTCCCACTCCCTGTCCCTTTGGCCACCTCCCAGGGGTGGTTCATCTGAAGGAGGCTGGGCCCCACCCAACACACTCCCTGCCCCACCATCCCAGCTCAGACCCTTAGCATGCACCCTGAGCCTCGGCCAGGACCAGGTGCTGGGGTAAGGGGCCCGGGCCTGGACTTCGAGGAGCCACAGCCTGCTGCACCATCAGATGACTGCCACCATGCCTTGTTTTCCCCACTTCTAAGAGAAGTCCTGCCCTGGGGTTCTTGGTGGGGCCCTCCAATCCCAGCCTGTGCATGGGGCTGGGGAGGGTGGGATACTCCCAGGCTGGGCTCGGGGTCCCTAATCAGCTCAGTTATCAGGCCCCAGCCAGACAGGAAGCCCTACTTGGACTGGGCAGCTGGGGGACTTTGCCCATCTGATCTATGGTGGAGGCATGGGACCTGAGGACAGGACATCACGGAGGGCAGGTTATCACGGAGTCCTGAGCTGTCTCCCGCAGGCTTCTGGGCCTCAGGAGGAGAACCCCAAAGGCTGGGCTCCCAAGGCTCTCAGGGGAGGTATGAACTGCAGGATCCAGGGAGGCCTCCTGAATAAGGTGGAAAAGACCCAATCCACTGCCCGGGTTTGCAGGGATACATGGGTCCCTGTGTGGTCTCTGTGTCACTAAGCTTGTTCCCTGGGGTAGTGACCACATGGAGATACAGGCGAAGGTGGGGCCTTTGGTGGAGCCCTGTTCTGCTCCTCCTCACTCCCTGCCCAGGGCACAGGTGTGTGGCTGTCCCCTACCACCCTACAGGTCCAGGCCTCAAGGTCAACTATCCTGTCCCTGCAGTGGGCAGACACCACAGTCCTCAGACCTGTGGCCTCCTGCTGTGCCTGATGTGTGTCCCAGCCTAGGTGTGAGGATGGTGGCATTGCTGGGGGATGTCTGCATCTTGGCTGGTGTTGGTGGACCCAGTACTCTCTGGTCACCTGGGGCTGCTGTACTTGCCACCAAACACAGAGCTAAAGCGTGGTCAGCTGTGGCGAGGCTGCGTTCATCCTTACCAGCCTGGGGCCTACAGCCACATTCCTGTGTGAACGGGGTCCTCACCCCAGAATTAGGGGGCTAGGGGCCAGAAAGCCCAGGACTGTCCTGGCCCCACATGCCTGGTCCTGGGGGCCCGGAGAGCCAGCAGCCCCAGCAGGAAGTGTGGTGCTTCAGGAGGCTGAGCCCTTCCTCTCAGGTCCTGGTGTGCTCCTTGGCCATCAGGCCTGGGCCAGTGCACAGGGTCAGGGGGTACTAGGCAAGTTCCCCCTTGAGGGAAAGGGTGGGGTGAGGCAGGCTGGGGCTGGGCAGTGCTGTGCCTCTCAGTTGCTGTTTATGGCCTGTGGCTGGTTTCACCCTGCCCTGGGCTTTGGAGGACAACTGGCAACCAGCCCATTTGCTCTGGCCCCACCTGCCAGGCCAGATGGATCTTGGCTTCAGCTTGGGATGGGGACATCCACCCCCAGCCTCACCCTGGGGCCTGGAGGGCATCTCTTGGGCCTGCTGTACTGACAGTCTTTCCCTCATTACAGGCCTGTCCTTCTGTTTGTTCCTAAGGTGTCCATCAGGTTCTGCAGCCAGGTATGTCCTCAACTGGTGTGTGGGGAGTGGAGGGGAGGACTGGGTATTTGTCACAGGTGGTGCCTGGAGGCCCAGGGAGGCCACATGCTGGAGTATGCACTTGGGTGTCCTGGCTGAGGGGTTGCTGGGAATCTGCCCTGTGAAGGGACCTCTGTCCCCTTGGTGGTTAGTTTGTATCATTGGGCAGTTACTTTTGGCCTCACAGCACAGCTGTGGCTCAGAGGCACCACCAGCTCTGGATCAGCTACACCGTCGCCTTCCTCCTCAATGACTTTCCTGGTTGGGCAGGGGCCATTCCCACCAGCCTGCACCAGCTTCCCATCTCACTGGTTGACCACGTTGTCATCTATTGCTGCCACTAGGTGGAAGCTCAAGTTGACCCAGAGCTGGCCAGGGAGGACCCTGCATGCTGACCTCAGGGACTTAGCCTTTACCAACATCTGAGGGGAAACTTACGCAAGAAGACTCTAACCACGATATAGCGCAGAATTTGGGGGCATTCGGCACAGTTTCCCGTTAATGTGATGCCACCTCTGTCTAGTTCTCATCCCTGCTTGGCCAACCAGCCTTCCCTCCCTCCCCCGCTGCCTGGGTCTTCCTATTTCCTGTCATTCTGAGCCCCCCTTGATTCCTGGGGTGCCTGCCCTGGTCCAGCCCCCTGTGACTCCAAGGAGCCCTGCTACAATGTGTGGATCATGGTACTTAGAAACCAGCACATGGGCTTCTGGGGTGTCATTTCTCCAGGGAGGGCCCAGCAGGTGGGGAACTGAAGTTGTAAGAGGGAGACCCCCTGGAAGATGGGAGGGGCAGTGGGGAAGCGGTAGCAGGCAGGACGCTGGCCTCTGGAGAGCCAGCAGCCACCCCTTATCTTCCGTCTGAGGGGTGGACAGTCTCAGGTTTTAGATACAGGGGACCAAATCGTGAGGGGCCATGCTTCAGAGGCCGGCGTGAGGCCATGGTAGACCAGCCTTTGCTGTGGTGGGTGCTCACTGCTGCCCACAGCTTCTCTGGGTATGTCCAGGGTGAGTGGGGGCAGTGTGAATGTCCAGGCCTGTGGGCACACTGGCAGAACAGAGGACTCCTCTTGACTTTTGGCTCACTTCTGAGCCTGGAACCTGTCCTCTTCAGCAACAAGGAGGACTATGGTATGGCAGCAGGCAGCCCCAGGGCTCTGAGGCCTTCCTGGCCACCACACTGGTACTGACTTTGGAAGTTTCCGGACCCTAACCAGCAGGAAGAAGCTTCTGCATGTCTTTGTATACCTGGAGGTGGGGAGTGGCTCCCTCTCTCCCCACTGCTGAAATCTGCAATCTGCCCCTCTGGATATGTTCCAGCTCAGGCAGCAGGAGCCCGAGATGCCGTCAATCCTCCACACCTGAAGATTGAGGGGAATGAGCTGGACATGGATTGTGATGGGGTGGAGTCTGGTGGGCTGGACACCAACTTCTAGCCTCTGCAGCTGGCTCCCTCATAGCTGGGGTGCCACCACACCCATCCACCCCACCCTTCCAGGTCCTTGATTTCATGTGACTACCAGGTCCACCTGGGAGAGCTGAAGACCTTTGTCTCCTAATGTTTCCACCATGAAGTGAAATGTCCTGTACTCCAACTCCCCTGGACCACCAGGGTCTAGAAGGGACATTGCCTTGGTGCAACTGGTCACCCTTGTGACCTTCTGCAGCCAGATCCTGCCTGCCTCCCTAAAGCCTCAGCCGACTTCCACCCTGGGATGGGTGCTGAGTGATGGGCTGGGACCACATGCAGGAGGGAGGCGAGGAGCCCCCTGACATCCTCTGGACCGTGGCGGGAAGAGGGGAATTGGCCCACCAACCTTGGTGCATGTACCAAGGGGCCACCTCCTTGCCCACTCTGCAAGTGTGGGGGCTGGTGCTCCAGTCTGTCCAGAACCTGCCCCGTCCCCAGAGCCTCTGTGGCCCCCATACAGCCTGTAGGAGGCAGAGGCCTCCATGGTGGACACAGAGACCTGCAGCCAGGCCTACCTCAGCATGGATGGCAGCACCTTCAGGCCAGACATGCTGTTTGATGGGGGCTGGCATACACTGCCAGGTGGGCCTAGGGCACAGTGGAGGGCTTGGGGCCTGGAGTCCAGCAAGACTCCCCACCAACCACCACTGGACCTCACCCTGCTCTGCCCTTCAGGATGACTGGAGGTCTGCTGGCCTGCCAGATGGATGGGACCTGGTTGCAGGCTGGCGTGGTCAGCTGGGGCGAGGCTATGTCCATCCTTACCAGCCTGGGGCCACAGCCACATACCCATGTGAACTGGATCTTCACCCCAGAATTGGGGGCCTTGGGGTTGGGAAACCCAGGGCTCCCCTGGCCCTTTCTCTTGGTTGGGCTCTTCCTGCCGGTCTTCCTGCTGCTGATGGCCTCCTGCGTCCTGGTGCCCAAGTGCTGGCTGCACAGAACCTGGCTTGAAGTTCCCACACTACTAACCCCTGATCCCGATTTGCATGACCCCCCTCCCATCCTCCTCCCTGCAGAGCAGAGAGATTGCTGGGAGCCATTAGCCAAGTAGGTATGACAATTTCCTTGCCAGCGTACCCCATGTTGCAGTGACATTGAATGTACGTGACCTTGCTCAAGGACCAAGGCAGATTAGGGTGTTCCTGGTTTTAAGATAATCGTGTTTAGGGCGTTCCCAGTTTAGGTTCCAGGTTTAAGGTTTAAGATTATTCCTGCTGGGAATAGGGCGTATCCTGCTGCCTGAGTTCCCCTTGAGTTCTCACGGGATTCAGACAGTATATTTTGGAGATAGAAGCCCAGTGGAGGTGGATTTGGGCAGAGAATGGGGATTTGGGCAGAGAACGTGGATTTCCCCAGAACGTGATTGTAGACGGCTGGTGTGAGTTCGGGAATAAAGAGTTGCTGTTTGAATCTACAAGCTGTGTGGTGGCTCGTGATTGTGTGCCCAGCCAGACTGCGGCATTTGTGCCCAGCCAGACTGCGGCAAGAGATTGCAAGGGCCACATCCTAGGCCTGTCCGGGCTCTGTCAGCAGTTCAGTCCCTGCCCAGTAATGCCTTCTTCCTGTAATGCCTTCTTCCTGCAGGGAAAGGAAGGCTAAGGTGCAGTTATCTGCCAAGGTCCGGGGAGGAGGGTTCACAGACCCCGGTGCTTTCTGTTCAGTCTCATCCACCCCCGCACGCCCTTTAGCAGTCCTGGAAGGCCCCCAGCACCGCCGAGGCCAAAAGACCTCGGTCAGTGGTATAACCTGGTCGTGGCAGCAGAGCCTAATAGTGCACCTGTGCAGCTGCGCCCAGCGCGTTCCCATCAATGACGGCCGGGCTCTCCCTCTGGTGGAGACAGGAGGAACTGCGTCGCTCCGAACATCGCTTGGCTTTGCGGAAGAAAACAGCAAACTGTTTGTGAACCCCATGATTGGCGCACATAAAATCCTAAGGGTCCCGCAGACGCCGGCGCAGACGAACTTGGCAAGGCTATGGAGCGTGACGAAATACAAAATACAAAATGCTGTACTTTTAAATTTATTTTTTAATATTTTTATTTTTACTTATAGGTAGGCACAATATCTTTATTTTATTATTTTATTTTTATGTGGTGCCAAGGATCAAACGCAGTGCCTCACTCATGCTAGGCGTGCCCCCTACCACTCAGCCCCAGCCCCAGTCCGTGTACTTTTTAATTTTTTTATTTTTGGTACCGGGGGTTGAGCCACATCCTCAGCCTTTTTTTTTTTTTTTTTTTTTTTTTTAATTTAGAGACAGGGTTTAGCTGCGTTGCTGAGGCTGGCTTTGAACTCACGATCGCCCAGCCTCAGCCTCCCAAGCTGCTAGGGTTATAGGCTTGCCACCACACCAGGTTCAAAACGCTGTAGTTCTGAATATTATCCACTACTAACTGGAAAATGATCTTGGAAGCCCTAGCAAGAGTGAGGATCAATCCACAGTACCACAATCAATCAACCAAAACTTGAAAGTCAATATCGTTTCTATCAGATTTTTTTAAAATTAAATTCTAGGCATAAAGGCAGCACATTGTCCTGTTTTTGTTGTTACTTTAAGTTGTCAATTATCTTTATATTTTTTTTGGGGGGGGAGTTGCTGGGGATCAAACCCAGGGCCTTGCACATGCTAGGCAAGTGCTTTATCACTGAGCTACACACCTAGCCCCTCATGAACTAGGTATTTTTTTGGGTGGGGGTACCAGGGTTTGAACTCAGGGTCACTCAACCACTGAGCCCCATCCCCAGCCCTATTTTGTATTTTCTTTAGAGACAGGGTCTCACTGAGTTGCTTAGCACCTTGGTTTTGCTGAGGCTGGCTTTGAACTTGGGATCCTCCTGCCTCAGTCTCCCATGCCCCCATCACTAAGTTTTTGACAAAGAAATATGTCTTTCACCTTTACAGATATTTCCACTTTCAGGACTTTCTTGGTGTGAGTCTAGATTGTCACCTCTTGTTTTCTTTCTCCTGCAGAACTTCTTTTGACAATTTGGTGACAGGAGGTGCTGGCACTGGTCTTTCAGCAAGCCAACAGTTCATTTCCTTCTAGTAGTCCTTTGACGATGGCTTCCAACCTTCTGCTGACTGCCAGTTTCTCAAGACTTTCATTGATTTCCAGCCCTATGTGATGTGCCTCAGCCTGTTTTTCATTAATTGTATTCTATTTGTTGTTCATTGAGATTGTTAGATCTGTTTGTTTATTTTTCCATCAAATATGTAAAGTTCTGGCCATTTGCTCCTCAAACATCCCCCTTATCCATCCCCTTTCTCTCGTCCAGCTTTCTGCCTCACATTCTGCAGTCTGAGTCTCTCCCGACTGCATGTCCTGAGGCAGTGTGAGTTTCTCATCCCTACTTGTCCTGCTGTCTGTCCCCCTCACCCACCTGGCTTTCTACCCATCTTGTCCCTTTGCATCTGCACTACCAGTTAGTTCTGTCAACAATCCCACCTCCAGTAGAACAGCCTCCCCCAGAAGAGAGGTGAGGAGGATGAGCCCCCTCCCAGGGAACGGTGGTGGGGCTGGCCTGCATCCCAGTGAGGTTCGCAGGTGTGGGGGACAGTGACTGAGTCCCTCTCTGGGAGAGCGTCACTTCCAGTGACCCTAAGACCAGTGGCTGTCCTCCAGGGGAGGATGCTTAGGGCCGGGGCAGCAGACACTGCTCTCCCATCCTGGCCTCCCAGCAAATAGACCAGAGGCTCTATCACCTCTAGCCCCTGATTGGCCCAGTGACAGCCAATCACAGGGACCGCAACCTTACTGCTACTTTTTTTTTTTTTAAGAGAGACAGACAGACAGAGAAAGAGAGAGAGAGAGAGAGAGAGAGAGAGAGAGAGAGAGAGAGAGAGAGAGAGAGAATTTTAATATTTATTTTTTAGTTTTCGGCAGACACAATATCTTTGTATGTGGTGCTGAGGATCGAACCTGGGCCTCACACATGCAGGCGAGTGTGCCACCGCTTGAGCCACATCCCCAGCCCCCTCACAGCTATTGACTGGTCCACCTCCCAGGCCTGAGCCAATTGGAGCATCCCTTGGAAGACAAGGGTCCAGAGCCCCTGACTCAGTAGTGCCCAAAGCCCCTGCCCTCTGTGTGTCCAGCCACCCCTGTTCACCCTCTCGCCCCATGTGGGCTCCTGTGGTTCCATCTTGCCAGCCCATGACAGGGCTCCGGAGTTTGTTAGAGAATGAGTGGAAGCCAGGTTGCTGAGCAGGACAGCGCCTGCTGCCCCCTCCTGTCCTGGGGTGTGCAGAGGACAGGGTGGGGGCAGGGCCTGCACTGCCCTCTGCTGAGGGCCCAGAAGTAGCAGTGAGGCAGAATAAGGGCTGGGGTCCTGGAGTCCTAGGTGAGGAAGTAGCCCACATGGGACCCTTTGAGTAGCAGTGTGTCAGAAGGAGGGGCATATGGACAGGCAGGACAGTGATCATCCCTGGGACGTGGCAGGGAGTGCAGGAGAGGTTTGGGGGAGGAATGCTGGCTGCAGGCCTCTTCTGCTATCCTGCTCTGACATGGAGCCATCTGGTGTGCAGATAAAGCACAGATGTCAGAGATAATGAGGTACCCTCAGGACAGCAGAGCTGCACAGATAAGGCCGGAGACCACCCTGCCATATTCTTCTGGCGAGCCAGTTCCATGGGGAGCAGCAGGGCCCCTTCCTGACCCAGACTCATGGTGCTGTTGATGTGACCCTCCCTCAAGTTGAATTTCTGATCCCATGGGATCAGAGAACTTGGGTGGGGTGAGAGTGAGAACTTGGGTGGGGTGAGAGTACCATCCTGTGCACTGCTCCTTTGAGGGTGGCCCACAGACATGGACTTATGCCCTGCATTCATCTTGGGGAAGCATGTTGGGTAGGACAGCAGTGGTCCCTGAATGCCACTGTTCCTGAGGCCTCCTAGGGAGTCCTCTGCACCTGGGCAGGAGGGGACAAGAGCCCAGTCCTGACAGCTGGGAGGTGTTGCCATTCTGGTGCTAGAGATCCAGCAGCTGAGAGATGGACCCTCAATTCCCAGTGCCCAGCCCATGGCAGGGCCCATCTGGGAGCCCCCATACACAGGGGGACCTGGCAGACCCTGAGCAGACTGGAGCCCTCTCATCCCTATACTCCCACTGGGGCAGAGCCTGAGAAGCCAGCATCCTGTCCTGGGGGTGGTTTTGTGGTTGCCTGTGCATCCCAACATTAAGGCCTGTGGACATCAGATGGACATCTTGGTGTGGGGGCATGTGTCACATGGTGGCCCTGGGTCTGAGTCATCTACTTCCTCCACATCTGGATTGGAGGTGGAGGGCCCTCTGACCCTAGCCTGATTTGGAAGGATAAATGGAGGGGAGCAGGCTGGGTGGAGGAGAACAGGGACTGGCCAGGGTGAGTGTCCCCCATTCAGAGCCCCTGACATCTGTGCGCCCCATCCCTGGATCCCTAAGACCCCAGACCCCTAGTCTGGACCAGTGCTCTGATCCACATGGGCCCTGGCTCCATTTTGCTCCATGCTCTGCCAACCGGATCCATCTGGCTTCACGCTGCCCACTCCACACTCTTTCCAGATGCTGAATCTGCTGGTGCTGGCACTGCCTCTTCTGTTCAGTATGGTCCATGGGGCCCCTGGTGAGTCCTGCCCTAGGCTTGCCTTTCCCTGCCCCCTGCCCCCTACTCCCTGCTGCACAGGCTGGGGCAGGTGGACTCTGAGAAGCCCAGCATTGTCCCAGGCAGGGGAGGGCTGATCCAGGGTGGGGCTGACCCTGGTACTGAGTGTGCTCCTGGCCCCAGCCACTGGCCTAGCTCTGGAATGAGTGGGCATCGTGGGAGGAGAGGAGGCCCCTGAGACCAAGTGGCCCTGGCAAGTGAGCCTGAGATTCTACAAAAGATACTGGATGCATGTGTGTGGAGGCTCCCTCATCCACCCACAGTGGGTGCTGACCGCTGCTCACTGTGTGGGACCGTGAGTCTCCATGTGCCTGTGTGTGGGGGGTGAGGGCCTGGTTTACCCTGTGGCCCCAGACGCTCTGGAGGCTCTGATGTTGGGGCCACTTCGTCCTCCTGAGCAAGACTCTCCTTTCCCAGAGAAATCAGAAGCCCAGAGTTCTACCGGGTACAGCTTCGCCAACAGCACCTTTACTACCGAGACCAGCTGCTGGCCATCAGCAGGATCATCCCTCACCCCAACTACTATATTGTGGAGGATGGGGCGGACATTGCCCTGCTGGAGCTCGAGGATCCAGTGAACATCTCCAGCCATGTTCACCCCATCTCTCTGCCCCCTGCCTCGGAGACCTTCCCCTCGGGGACACCGTGCTGGGTGACAGGCTGGGGCAATGTGCATGACGGCGGTGGGTGGCTGGGACAGCTGAGGGCTTGGGCAGGGGGGCTCGAGACCACACCATGGCCCCAGCCCTGGGGGTTCCCTTTGCAGAACAGTGAAGGGCGCTGATTGACCCCCTCCTGAGGCTGCTCCCTCTTCTTTCACCCCAGAGTCCCTCCCACCACCGTTTCCCCTGAAGCAGGTGAAAGTCCCGATTGTGGAAAACCACCTTTGTGACGCGCAGCACCACACAGGGCTCTACACAGGGGACAGCGTTCACATTGTCTGTGATGACATGCTGTGTGCTGGGAAAATAGGGCACAGCACCTGCCAGGTGGGCCCTTGTCCCCCGCATCCCCCACGTGGGCCTTGCCCCCCCGCACTGACTCTTGTTCTCCCCAGGGTGACTCTGGAGGGCCCCTGGTCTGCAAGGTGAAGGGTGCCTGGCTGCAGGCGGGCGTGGTCAGCTGGGGTGAGGGCTGTGCTCATGCCAACCGGCCAGGCATCTACACCTGTCTTACCCACTACTTGGACTGGATCCACCGCTATGTCCCCAAGGTCCCCTGAGCCAGGTTGGCAGGGTTGCCACCCAGATCAGGGCATCATCAGTCCTTATCCTGCCTCAGCACACTGTTTCCTTCCCAGGTGGCATCACCCCACCTTGCCAAACCCCCAACCCCTTCCCTGTGGACCCCTCCACCTGCCTCCCAGCCTGTAGGTGGCAGGTGCTAATCCTCCTGGCTGCTGTGTCTCATTAAAGTGCAGAGAAAGCATCATGGTGGTCACTGTTTTTTTTTTTAGCTAAGGGCATCTCTAGGGAAGAAAGGGGTCCAGGTAGTGACTGGGTGCAGCGGCTGTAGGTATGGGGTCCCTGGCCCCGAGACTTGGTCTGCGGTCATGAGTCGGGCCTCCTCGCCAATGCCTGTCCCTAGGCCGGCTGCTCTTCCACACAAACTTGTTTCCTTTTTTATTCTTTTTTTCAGGGGATGGGTAGCAGGGATTGAACTCAGGGCATACTTGACTCACATCCCTAGCCCTATTTTGCATTTTCTTTAAGACAGAGTCTCACTGAGTTGCTTAGGGCCTCACTTTTGCTAAGGCTGGCTTTGAACTTACAATCCTCCTGCCTCAGCCTCAATTACAGGTGTGCGCCACAGTGCCCTGCTCACAGGTTTGTTTCTGTGTGGTGTGGGAGGTAGAACAACGTGGGCAGCTGAAGGGAGCAAGGTAGAGGACAGAGAGCACCCGTGGCCAGGTGGAGAGAGCATGGGCAGCTGCAGAGCCCAGCCCTGCCGCAGTCTGGCTGGGCACAAAATCACGAGCCACTCAAACAGGAACAAACTTTATTTTTGAAACTTCCGCCAATGCCCTGTATGCTCCCGGGTAATATGCCGACCCACACATGCACGGGGTGTTCTCCAGGACACACACACCAACAGGAAATCCCTCCTCCGGAATTCCCTCCTACCGCACTTCCCCAACCTATGGGAACTCTCCAGGAGTCCAGTAGCAGGTGAGGTGGACAGCAGGGGTCTAATATCCATTTGAATGCAGGTCTTAACATAATCATATCATCTCAATGGCTTGCTGGCTTCACCTTTCAACCAAAAATGCCATGCATCATTACTACTTGGCTATGGCTCTTAGCACAGCCCCACCCACCTATCCACATCCTAACCCCCTGCCAGGTGCCTCTGTGTAGCTCCAGTGTTCTCTGGTCTGCTTGGAGCACCTCCAGGGCTTGCCCCTCCCTGAGTGCTGACCCTGTGACAGCTGAGTGCAGCAGGGGTCATTCCTTCTCCCTGTCGTGCAGGACCCTGTGTGTCCAGCTGCTGCAGATGGGCTTTGGGGTTTCCGACTCCAGGCCCTCAGGACTGGGAGGCTGAGCTGTCCAGACATGCAAGGTGCCCAGCATCTGGCAGGTTTGGCGAGGGCAGTGGCTGGGCTCAGGGTGCCTTCTCCTCCTGTTGGGGCTTCAGACGTGTTCATGGGCATAGCAACCCACCTGTGCTTCCTCATCCTTCCTTCCGCCTTCTGTACACGGAGTGGCAGAAACCCTTCTTCGAGGTTTATTGTGTTTTTATGATTATGAAAGAGGGCAGTGCTTTCTTGCAAGGGGCCCTGCTCCACACCTGGGTCCTGGTGGGGCTGTGAGCTCCATTGTCCCCCTCTAGGGTTGGGCTGGATCCCTGAGGGCTCTGCCTTCACCCTGGCCTTGTGCTCTTCCCTGTGGGACTCCTGTTCTGTGCTGTTGTCAGGCTGGGGTGCATTTCATCCAGTCTCCTGGGATTAGGCTTCATAAGCTCAGGTTGATTCTTCCTGGCTCCTGGCCAGGCTGCAGGGTTCCCCAGACATCCAACCCTGCCTTCTCTCCAGGCACACAGTATGTCGTGTGCAGACCATGAGCTGGCCCCTTCCTCCCACAAACAGTGCACATGAGAGCTCATGGACAGATGGGGCCCAGGTTTGCCTCCTGGGAACCCTCTGTTTGGCACTGACCCTTTCCTTTGCTGGGGAGGGGCTCTGGCTTCTGACCCACTGTCCACATCAAGGTTTCAGGATAGACATGTCACTTGAGTCCTTGGTGAGTGCTGTGGTTGCTCCCAGGCCCTGTGTGCATCGTGTATTTAGACATGCTCATGCTTGTAAACAAGACAGTACCCTCCTTTAGGATGATTCTGAGAACTTTTGGGCAAGAAGAAACTTTTGGGGTAGGTGGTGGTACTGGCGATTGAACCTGGGGTGCCCTACTTCCGAGGTACCTCTCCACATCTTTTTATTTTTATTTTAATTTTGAATTAGGGTCTCACAAAGTTGCTGAGGTTGGCCTTGATCTTGCATTCCTCTTGCCTCAGCCTCCCAAGGATCTGGGATTGTAGGTGTGCACCACTACCCTTGGCAGAGAAGATATTTTCTAAAGAAACATTTGCTTCTCTCTCCTTGCAGTCATCAAATACAAAGATGTTGGTTTAATCTGCAGAATCTCTGGAAATGATCTTTTGGGGGGATCTGAAAGGCCTGCCAGTTCCTCATCTGGACCCTCCTGCTTCTGACCCTGCTCTGGTAGCCCCTCAGTCTCTTTAGGTGTGAGAATCATGAGGAAGGAAGTACTAACCCTCTTTAGTGTTCCTTTTGGTTTTAATTTTCAATGACAAACTTGATGTCTGCCTATCACAAAAACAAAATATAAACCTGGAGATATTTTCCTCTCCACTTCCACCCCCAGGGCCCATCTCTCTTGGGGTCACCACAGGTCGGGGGGTGACCTCCTTTGAGTGTTTCAGACATCCTTCAGCAAGGTTGTAGGTTGTGCACAGTGGGGGCAAGGGACCAAGGTTCCCCAGGAAAGATGACCAATGGGGGTGGGGACAGACCCAGAGAAGAGAGGTCAGGGTGGCCTTCCTCTTATCTGGCCCTGGATCCCAGCTCAGCCCAGCTCAGGCCAGCCACAGTTGACAGATAAAAGTGGGCGTTGGCCCTATCAGGGCTGCCAATCTCAGGGCCAGGCCAAGGGGTTGGGGCCCAGCCCCTGTCTTTACTATCCAGGGCTCCTCCCCAGGGACAATGTCCAGATGGTCAGTTCACTGCAGACAGATGCAGCCCAATGCCACGCCTTCTTGGGCAGCTGACCCTTCGAGGTGGGGGCATGGCCAAGGCCAGGCTTCCCCCTCCCTGAACTCCTCTGTCAGAAGAGAGGAAGCAGCACCTGTCACAGGGGTGCCAAGGGGACCAACGGGATGATTTGGGGTGTCAGGCCTGGGATCCAGGGTGTAAAGGACTCTGCAGGCAGCAGTGTGAAGGGGAACGGGGTCCCCAAATATTGAGCTGGGAAAGGTGAGGTTCCTGAAGTCCCCTCCTGGGGGTCAGGTCTCAGCGGATCTGGCTCCTGAAGACCCTGCACCCCACTGTCACTGGGCAATGTGAGGCTGCTGGGCGCTGGGTAGGCACCCTGGGCTGGGCACACCTGGACCCCACCCTTCTTCCCTGTGCTGTGCTGACCAGGCAGGTCCCACTCCCTGTCCCAGCGGCCACCTCCCAGGGGTGGTCCATCTGAGGGAGGCTGGGCCCCACCCAACACACTCCTTACCTCACCATCCCAGCTCAGACCCTTACCATGCACCCTGAGCCTCAGCCAGGACCAGGTGCTGGCATGAGCGGGGCTGGGCCTGGGCCTCGCACAGCCATAGCCTGCTGCACCTTCAGACGACTGCCACCCTGCCTCAGTTTCCCCACTCCTAAGAGGGGTCCTGCCCTGGGGTTCTTGGTGGGGCCCTCCAACCCCCGCCTGTGCATGGGGCTAGGGAGGGGATGGGAAAGTCCCAGGCTGGGCCCAGGGCTTGTAATCAGCTCAGTCATCAGGCCCCAGCCAGACAGGAAGCCCTGTGTGGTCTGTGCAGCTGGGGGGCTTTGCCCATCTGATCTGTGTTGGAGGCATGGGACCCGAGGACGGATGTGAGGACAGGACATCCTGGAGGGCAGGTTATCATGGAGTCCTGAGCTGTCTCCCCCAGGCTTCTGGGTCTCAGGAGGAGAACCCCAAAGGCAGGACTCCCAGAGGCTCTCTGGGGAGGTGTGAGCTGCAGGATCCAGGGAGGGCTTCATGGAGAAGGTGGCAAGGACCCAATCCACCGTCTGGGTTTGCAGGGATGCCCGGGTCCCATCCTGTCCCTGTGTGGTCTCTCTGTGTCACTAAGCTTGTTCCCTGGGGTAGTGTCCACATGTAGATACAGTAGCAGGTGCGGCCTTTGGTGGAGCCCTGTTCTGCTCCTCCTCACTCCCTGCCCAGGGCACAGGTGTGTGGCTGTCCCCCACCACCCTACAGGTCCAGGCCTCAGGGTCAACCCTGTCCCTGCAGTGGGCAGACACCACAGTCCTCAGACCTGTGGCCTCCTACTGTGCCTGGTGTGTGTCCCAGCCTGGGTGTGAGGATGGTGGCATTGCTGGGGGATGTCTGCATCTTGGCTGGTGTTGGTGGACCCAGTATTCTCTGGTCACCTGGGGCTGCTGTACTTGCCACCAAACACAGAGCTAAAGCGTGGTCAGCTGGGGCGAGGCTGCGTTCATCCTTACCAACCTGGGGCCTACAGCCACATTCCTATGTGAACGGGGTCCTCACCCCAGAATTAGGGGGCTAGGGGCCGGGAAGCCCAGGACTATGCTGGCCCCACATGCCTGGTCCTGGGGGCCCGGAGAGCCAGCAGCCCCAGCAGGAAGTGTGGTGCTTCAGGAGGCTGAGCCCTTCCTCTCAGGTCCTGGTGTGCTCCTTGGCCATCAGGCCTGGGCCAGCGCACAGTGTCAGGGGGTACTAGGCAAGTTCCCCCTTGAGGGAAAGGGTGGGGTGAGGCAGGCTGGGGCTGGGCAGTGCTGTGCCTCTCAGTTGCTGTTTATGGCCTGTGGCTGGTTTCACCCTGCCCTGGGCTTTGGAGGACAACTGGCAACCAGCCCATTTGCTCTGGCCCCACCTGCCAGGCCAGATGGATCTTGGCTTCAGCTTGGGATGGGGACATCCACCCCCAGCCTCACACTGGGGCCTGGAGGGCATCTCTTGGGCCTGCCGTGCTGACAGCCTTTCCCTCATTACAGGCCTGTCCTTCTGTTTGTTCCTAAGGTGTCCATCAGGTTCTGCAGCCAGGTATGTCCTCAACTGGTGTGTGGGGAGTGGAGGGGAGGACTGGTGGGAAAAGCTCAGGGGGGACAGGGTATTTGTCACAGGTGGTGCCTCAAGGCCCAGGAGTCCACATGCTGGAGTATGCACTTGG